GTGTGTGTGTGTGTGTGTGTGTGTGTGTGAGTGTGGGCACTACGATTATTAGTAATATTAACAGCATGACAGAAATGTATTAGCAGCACAAGGCCCTGTGAGAAAATGCCTTGCATGTCTTGGCTGCTACAGAGCGGCACAGAACAATCATCAGAATTAAAGAGTCCCCTGAGAGGGCTGCTCATTACAGATGCACCACCCTGTGTCACAGCTGGCTACAGGCAGCAGATTAACAGGAAACATCTCAATTGAGGAGCATTTTTCTGTCCCTCAAGGTGACCGTTAACTGGTGACACCTGTCCTTCTTACTCACACACTTTGTTTGTGTTTGACACAACTGATGCGATATTATGCCATGTGTCGATATCCACAATTTGAATTAATTATAACAAAATGTATTGTTTACTGTCACTACAATCTTGATACCAGCCTCACAATGTCAGTATCAGTTGGGTTCTACGTGACGCATTATATAATTACACGGTGCTTGTGACTGACAACTGCTATTCTGGGACCTCATGCTAAACTTCATGTACATTTTAAATATCACATGCTGTGAGCACTGTGTGCTTTATGTTGATCCCCATTCCTTTGCCTCATTACACACTTTGGGATGTTTGTGACGTCTTTGTGCTCCTGCATGTGCGTATAAATCAGTCACAAGCATTGCAGAGTTATGAAATGTGGTAAAGATAAATCTTAGCAGTCACAATGACATGTAGCCAGCACAGGAAATCTGCAGTGGCAGAGGAAGTCCACTAATAACAAGCAGACAGTCCTATTTAAATAAAATGCTGACTAACAAACAATGGGGCCTGCAAACTAGCTTTTCTCCTGTATGCTGTACTGCTTGTCCTGTTTAACAATAGTTATCTGGTATGGTCCCTGTTTAATAGACTAACCAACATATTAACACAGCCTTAAAAATCCTGTTACATTTAAGTGAAATAGTATCAACAAAAACTAAATGTGAGCTTCACCAAACTGTTTTTTATGAGTGGGGTAATATTCCTATAATGTAATCTAAGAGTTACAAGTCAGTAGTGTTCATTCCAAAAGATACATCTTGTGTTGCTGCATTTGTGATTTGATTGCTTCAAAGTTGAAGTAGGCCGATGTCCAATAGCACAAAATAATCTGCGTAATAAAAATATCGATATTCCCAACAGCGGGGTTTACAGACTTCAGAATATTAGCTCAGACCCCCCGTCTGACGAGGCAATAATCCGTGGACCGCGAGTCGCCTCAGGGAGCCAGATTGAAAACATATTGGATGGTAGGAATGTGCACTCCGCTTATGAAAACAAAGCAGTGTGTTATGAATAAATGTGAGAGCCTGGTGTCAAACGGAGCCACCTGTTTGCATGGAAACAATGAATATATAACACAAATACCGAAAATGATTGGGAAAAAAAATAAAACTAATTAAAATCCTGGAAAATATACATGAAAAAGAAGCGTTGGATGTCTGATGAAGTTAGGAGGCCTTGTCACATAATCTGCTGAGAGGGGCCACGAACGAAAACAGTCACTGCTACATAATGAAATGAGTGTGTGTGTGTGTGTTTGTGTGTGTGTGTGGGTGAGTCAAAGAACACCACTACTCTGCCTCCTCTCTCTCTCTCTCTCTCTCAGTCCATCCAGCAGTTACACAATACGCCCCCCTGGGAGCTGGACTTACTCACGGTGAATCTGTTCATGCATCATCATCATTGGTATCTGATCTCTGTGGGCTGTTTTACATAGATACAAAAAAAAGAAAAAGATTGTACCTCATTTTCGCCATCTCATCTTGTTAGTCTGCCAACATTATGGCAGGGTTTTGTGAAGGTCGAATAAAGATGTTCTTTTCCCCTGGCAGCTTTAAATAAAGGTGTGTAAATGTACAGTAAGTTATGTGGCTTCCATCTAGTTATATGACAACAGTTTCTTTCTAGTGTTTATTGAAACTCAGCCTGCCTCAGTCCATACAGCCATAGTACTGTGTGACACATATTAGCAGTGAGGGAAAAGTCACCATGAGATGAGAAATATAACACATCCATACTGACTTGTTTCATCGTTTCCCGGCCATGTTTGCCTTTTGGATCCCTCTAGTTCAACTACAGTATTTCTTATCAGCGTTCTTTTCTTTTCTTCTCATTTTACATTTTTAGGAACAACATGATATTGGTATTGTAGGTGGTAGGGCTGCATTTCCTAGGGTCTGTTCGTGACATATGGCTGTAGGTTATCTGTTGAAGATTTAGATGTATGGTAATAAGTATAAGTTATGGTTTCTGCTCAAGGTCACACAGTTCTGATGGAAGGATTAGCATTGTGTGTGTTTTTTCTTTTCACAACACTGTGTAATCCGTCATGCATGCGCAGATAACAGGCGCCTTCGCAGAACAAATGAAGAGCTGCATCTGTCTGAGGAACTTCACACCACTGCTTTACTGTCTGTACACCGTTTGTCCTCAGTTAAATCTTAGATAAATACTGCAGGCCTCCACACTGTAGTCAGTATACAAAGATGTGTGTGGATTAGACTGCATGTCTTCTCTGTTAGATGGCGCTGTAGAGCACTAGTGGTGTCTGGCTAAGTAGTTAATGTCACCTTATGCCAGCCAGGCCCATATTGAACCCTTTACACTGCCGACTGACAGTCAGACCACAGCTTAAGTCTGTGACCTGGCCTGCTATCTAAAAGAGAATGGCTATTTTTAGCCGTAGGATGGGACTGGATGGGCCGCTTATTGATGCAGCTGAAGGCTAATGGAAACAGGGTTTAATTCCTCCCGTCAATCCCCTTTGATTTAGCAGCCCAAAACAGGAGTACAGCCTGAAAGTAAAAGCGGCAGCAGATGTGTTGTTTTGTGTTCCTGTTTCTTGTTTTTGTCCGTGGACAAATCTGAATCTTCCGACATTTGCTCTCTCAGCACTTAAAAAGCGTAAATCATCAAGTGCAACATACTGACTTTAGCAGCTGGTTGTTAAGGGCAGAACCAGAGAGAGAGAGAGAGAGAGAGAGAGAGAGAGAGAGAGAGAGAGAGAGAGAGAGAGAGAGTGGGAATCAGCCTCCCCATTCTCTCTAGGTCTCTCTCTCTCTCTCTCTCTCTCTCTCTCTCTCTCTCTCTCTCTCTCTCTCTCTCTCTCCAGGTTGGCCATTAGAACTCAGGATAATAGGTGGGAACCTCCCTCCGGCTCTGCCTGGGAGTGTTCTGGGATAATAGCATCAGGGACACCTAGTCCCATCACACAGAGGACACAGGCACAGCAAAGCAGGCTAGAAAACTGGAGAGTGACCGGCAGCCATGGCACACAAACATGGGCACGGGAGAGAAAGGGTGAGTCGCTACTAATGCATCACCGGGAACTCATCCAGCACACTTATTCTTAAAGATATACTGCATATCACCTCACACAGATGTGCCACATTTACTTGTGTCATGCCATCATTTTTCTTCTTTTTTGCAGTTATGTAAAATGATTATTTGATCTTATGCATCGATGCAGACCACACAGAAGTGTTTCTCTTTTAATTGCAACCTGCAAGAAGTACAACCTTCTCCTCAAAAGGCCGAGGTTATTCCTAGAGCTCACCTCCAGGATGGTTTACTGTGTAAGAGTACCAAAAACAGAATGCTGTCTTGGGTAACACTTCATCATTAATCAGATTAACCTCTTGCTTTCCCTAATGCTTTAACCACAGAAGGAGTCTCTGATTTGGATGTCCATGAATGGGGGGGGGGGTAAAAACGATACGGATTTTTAAGAGTCCGTGCAAAAACTGATGCAAGGCAAATATAAAATAACTATTTTACAAGTGTATGAGAGAGAGCACACCGTCAACTGTAAAAACAGAGACGTGCAGAGATCTCAGTTCAAACTGTCTCACAAGCTTCTTGAGTTTCGTTGTACTGACACAGTAGACGTTGAAGGTATCATCGCTCAGAGAAAACGGGGGCTGTGAGATATAAACACTCAGTAAATAAAGTCACTACTGTTTTAGCCATTAATGCTACAGTTACTTTCATTTTGAAGAAGTGGTGTGGTGTGTAAAGCTATTTTCCTTAGAGATCACAAATGACGTTGGTGCATATGAACCCTATGAACTCATGAACATATGAAATGTGATCCGCTTCTGGCTTCCACTCACGGTTGTGTGCTGACTACCAGGTAGCTGAGTCATGCATGCGAGCTGTGATCTTCCACTCCTCTCAGTGTTCAGTTTGACAGAGCAAATCATTTCTTTACATTTAGCAAGTGTCATTACTCTTTCATGTCATAGTCACTAACACTAAGCTTCAGCTATAGGTCACGGTTGTGATGGTCACAGTGCACATCCTACTCAAATGTTACCTAACTCACTGTTGATGGTCCGGCATTCATCCTCTGTGTGTTGTGTCAACTCTGCTGGCCTGCACGTTAAGTTTGAAGTCCAAACACATTCTATAGACATTTAAAATACGAGAACACGGAAATGGCACGACATTGACAGAATGAACGATGATTGAAAGGATTTATCACTGAGGAGAACAAAGCTGTAAAGAAATGTAAATATAGCACAGACAGTTGACTATGACCTCTAACCTCTAATACAACAAGAAGGCCTTTGAATGGGTTTCAGGGTCTTTGACCCTCCATCCATTAAAGCACATGTAAACCATCAATATAGAAACATAAATATTATGACGACAACAACAAGACATTATCACTCAAAAGCTATGACGAGGAAAAACAGAAAGAAAGTCAAGAAAAGAATGCGTGAATGTGCACGTTAAAAGTCCACCCCTCTTCATTTCATGACATTACACAATGTTGGGACATTAAACAGTGTTGTGACATTATACAGTGTTGTGACATTATACGATGTTGTCAGGCTTTTAGCAACGTCAAGGTAACATTGGTGAAACGTTTTATTCATGCGAGATAAAGTTGCTCCACTTGCAGTAGTGGATCTGTTGCCGGCAGCAGTCAAAAAAGAATTGCATCCGTGTTTACCAGATGTGACATTAAGATTGGATCAAAAGTCAAATCTAAAACTAAAGGACATTTATGAGGTTCAGACCTGAAACCCACCTGCAGACTTCCTGTTTAAGTAAAATGCTGAGCACGTCATCTACCTACAGTATGTCTTACAGGTGTAAGCAAAGTAGAAGCTACAGCCCACCTGGGCTTCTACGTGTGTTCAGGATTGTTTCTGACTTCTCTACATTTGTAATTATTGTCAGGATCAATGTAGTTGGGTTACTATGTATATAGTTCTGTTGGACTGTCCTACGTCGTGACCCCGTTTACTAAAGGGCCTGAGGGTCTCCCCACTGTTTCTAATGTTGACAACCGACTGTTGTCGTCTGCTCGTGCAGCCCGACTGCTACAGTTTCAGGGTGTTACAACCCAAATTCACAGAGGCACCGGCTCTTATTGAACAGCTGAATGATAAGACTTTTTGAAATTGCATCAACGTCTGTGGGTTGGTAGAGTAACCCCAGAGACCGGACAGTAGAGACTTTAAGTCAAGAAACTAGCCGCGTGCTGATCCACTCTATGTGTTTCCAGGTCTTTGATCTCGGGCCCTTTGAAGGGTCGGGTTGACACGATGAACCACACCAACAACGGAAGCCTGTGTTTTTGAACAAAGCTTAAATCACAGAGCAGGAGGGCAGCATCTAAAAACAGGCAACAGCTCCCTTCTTCCCGATCCACCTGTGATTTACTGTAACAGACTCAGTATTACCTTTCAAATCAGCAAAAATGAGTCCAAATATAAACTAGTGTGAACAAATAACCTACAGCATATAACTGAGTGTGTTCAGGTGTGATGATGATGGTACTTTGTTTTGCTCCTCGCTCTTCCTTGCTTCCATTATTTTATTTTTGACACTTAATCAGGGTACACAGACAGAATGAAAGTCCTAACATTTGCCTTTTATGTTTACGTCGTGCACCATTTTGTTCTGTTTCTCTCCAGATCCAGTTTGCGAACACTGAGGACAAACAGGAGTTCAGCAAGTACCCCACCAAAGCTGGTCGCCGCTCCCTCTCTCGGTCCATCTCGCAGTCCTCCACAGACAGCTACAGCTCAGGTGCTGCAGGCCTGAAAGTTTCATTTCTTTTTCCGCCTCCATGAGACGTTAAATCACCCGCTGTATCTTTACAGACCGACGGTGATTGTAAACGATTGTTGTTGATATTGAAGATTATTGCAAATGTTGACAGTTATAGTTTGTGTTGTACATTTGATCGAACTGATTATATGTGTCTATTTTTAAGTCCTTATCTCATCTTTTGGAATGAAGTATGTACACCCATACACAGATGCTGCCTAAGAGCACGTATACACAAATAGTCTGATAAAGTCTCAGTCACAGTTAGGAGATCTGTATCAATATTGCCTTTTATATTATGTGTTTATGTTTGAAATATTGCTATTGCTCATTACCATATATGTACATATTTATATACACACATACACAGGAAATGCACGTAAAACCTCCACCCTAAACACAATGGATTTTAAGTATAATTGTCTCTTTTGTATGATTTTCCACAATAAGTGACCTTTGGTGTTCTCCGTCTCACAGCTGCGTCTTACACCGACAGCTCCGATGATGAAACCTCCCCCCGGGACAAAACCCAGGTCAACACCCACGGCAGCAGTGACTTCTGTGTGAAGAACATCAAGCAGGCCGAATTTGGCCGCCGTGAAATAGAAATTGCAGAGCAAGGTATATCTGTTCCCATCTTTACACTTTTATCTGAGAATCTCCGTCGTGTTTCTTATGGAGTCCCTTTCACTCACGTACATGCCTTATCAATCTCAAAAGTTGGTTTCACCGTTTTTGTTGCGTTTTTTTTTGACACAGTCGGATTAGAGACTCGCTATCATTACCACGTATACAAGGCAGTGTCAATACTATTCTTGAAACATGATCGGCACTCTTTCTCTCAGTTCTATTCATCACTTCTTACTTATTTTCTTCTCTTACCTCTTCCCCCGTCTCTTCTGTTTTGTTTTTTGTATACAAGTCTGTCTCTCTGGTTGCTTACGTTGCCCGTGTGAGTGATGTGTAGGCGTGCCTGCTGCACGGGTGCTCTTCAGGCTTAAAGCCAGGGTGGCAACAGCTGTTGATGACATTATTGTTTAATCAGTCTCCCATTTTCTAGCCATTTACTGCACTTCCACATCATATTTTTGTTTTCAGAATTTCCCATCATTCTTCTCTCTCCCCAAAAAACAATCCTGACCTTTACGTCCTCTCAGCTTCCACTAACTTATGCTCAAACTGTTCCTCCCCAGACATGTCAGCCCTGATTTCCTTGAGGAAGAGAGCCCAGGGGGAGAAGCCATTGGCTGGTGCGAAGATAGTCGGCTGTACCCATATCACTGCTCAGACCGCAGTACGTCCTCTCGTTGTGTTCGCTGCAGATCACTGGGATCGTTCTGTTCTACTCTCCTTTGTCTCTGCTACCGGTTCATGTAGCTGTGTATGTTGTCGTTCCCTCTTAGGTCCTGATCGAGACCCTGGTAGCCCTCGGGGCCCAGTGTCGCTGGACTGCCTGCAACATCTACTCCACTCAGAATGAAGTGGCTGCAGCTCTCGCTGAAACAGGTAAGAGTCTCTCTTATTTACGTCTGAAAATCTCATCAGAGAGTCAGCTCATCAATGACAAGAAGAACACATCACCATCATCAATTATTATTGAGTAGAGCCATGGTTTGTAGATGAACAAATAAAACATATATACTTCTGACTACTAAAAAATTATTACTAACATGATGGCTATGGCGAGGTCTACACATTAACTACAATGTGTGTCTGCAATGCTTTAAAAAATGTTGTTGTGTTTACTTTTGATTTTGTGTTCTTGTGATATAGTAAATTATGGATCCTTGCTTGTGCGTTCCTTGGGTAATAGCCCCCCGATGGACCTGTTGCTCATGCAGCTGGCCCCCTCTCCTCTGCGGTGTCTCTCTTTGCTATTAGGTGTGTCTGTTTTGTTTCCTGCAGGGGTACCTGTGTTTGCATGGAAGGGCGAGTCAGAGGACGACTTCTGGTGGTGCATCGATCGCTGCGTCAACACGGAGGGCTGGCAGGCTAATATGGTACCAACCTGACAATCCCATGATGAATTCAGCACTAATCTTAGACTGTTATCTGGTCTTTCTCTGGGTTCTACCGTGCTATCATAGACTGCGTGGTGGTTATCATTCATGCCGTTAACCCTGCTGTGTTTTTGCTTAGATCTTGGATGATGGTGGAGACTTAACCCACTGGGTGTACAAGAAGTATCCCAGTGTCTTTAAGAAGGTCCGGGGCATCGTGGAGGAGAGTGTGACTGGAGTGCACAGGTGGGATGGGGCTCTGATCTGATGAGTTTTGAGGGTTTTAAAGGAAGGAAGGAAATATGTTTGTACGTTCTGTGTCTGATCGGTCAGGGACTCTATTTGATGAGTAAAGTGTGGAAGGTGGCCAAAGCTATAATTGTCAGAATAATAGAATTGATCTTTTAGCCACCAATAAGTTGTGGCACAGCTTATGACAGCTCGTAGTGGACTATAACTCATAGAGACTGTGGCAATATCTTTTGAGTTATCAGTATTGATCAAACCCCAGGAGTTATTTTGTGGTCATTTAGTGTCCCGTTAACACTGAAATAAAAACTCAACTGAAGAAGGTAGACAACACAATGTAAACACATCCTAAATAAGGATGTGATATGTAGAGTGACTGTTTACCATTGCAAACAAAGGTGCATCATGTTAGTTTCATGCCATTTAGTAGTATTTGTCCAACCTCTTTCATAACGTATATATATCCAGATTACTGTCAGATAGTTTGACCATGTGACTGCTGTCCCTCTTCTGTCGATGCAGTTTGTGTTTTCAACACCGTTACATTCGCTATTCAATACCAATCTAGCCTTGTTGGAGTTCTGATTATTGTTATATTATTGTATATATATATATATATATATATATATATATATATATATATATATTATTGTATATATTGGCTACTTTTATAGCTAATAAAAACCTAATAAGTTTGTAAATGATTAAAGTTGAAGCTGCTTCTTTTCCACAAGGTCTTTACACTATTTTGTTCTTTATATGGAGCTGAGCAGGAAGCTTCCTGTTGAATGACGCATACCGTGTCAGCACAAACAGTATCAAAAGCAGTTATATAAGTCATAGTAGTGGTATAAATACATACTGACACTGTAGATTGAGAAGGTCACTGGCCTGATTGGACTTCAGCCTATTTGAGAAACACGACAGAGCTGGACTGCAGCTGTGCACGTACGACTATCAATGGAATCAATTAGCCAGAAGCCCCGGAGAGCGTACCGTCACACCGAGTGCGCGCGCGTGTTGTGTGTGCCTGAACATGTTTCCTCGTGCGCCCTCTCAGATTGTACCAGTTGTCTAAGGCTGGCAAGCTGTGTGTCCCTGCCATGAATGTGAACGACTCCGTCACCAAGCAGAAATTTGACAACCTTTACTGCTGCCGTGAATCTATCCTGGATGGGTGAGGAGAATGAAATCATCCGGAAAGCTAGCCATCATTTGCAAACTCTTGTTTTCTCAGTTTCAGTCGTGCATATGGATAAAAGTGTGTGTCATCTTGTCTCTGCCAGTTTGAAGAGGACCACGGATATAATGTTTGGAGGCAAACAAGTGGTTGTTTGTGGTTATGGAGAGGTGAATCATTCTTTGATTTAAAAAAAATCCCACTTTTGATGGAACGACTGAATTTTCACTGGTGCAGCAGACCTTTCAACATGGATTGTAGATATCTGTTCTCAACGATTGCCCTGTCCTGTGGTGCGTAGGTGGGGAAAGGCTGCTGCACTGCTCTAAAGGCCCTTGGAGCCATTGTGTGCATCACAGAGATCGACCCCATCTGTGCCCTGCAGGCGTGGTGAGTCACTAACATTAGCACGGCTCCATGTTGTGCTCCACTTTCTCTCTATGTTGTGCATCAGATTAGCTGTGATTCCAAAAAGACAATTTGTTCCCATCATGTGTTTTGAGTTGTGTTCACTGTGTTTGTGCTGCTTAAACTAATGATAATATCTCGATGTGTATCCACACAGCATGGACGGCTTCCGAGTGGTCAAGCTGAGTGAGGTCATCCGGCAGATGGACGTGGTGATAACTTGCACTGGTACTGTGCCCCATGCAGGGACATCCATTACTTCTGCTTTGAAAATCACAGTGTTTCCAGCAAAACTAAAGTGTGCCCCATTTAAATATCCCAGTTTAGGTCTCTGGGTCACAAACAGACTTTACGTCTGAATACTAAAATGCTTTTTGTGTCTGTAATCACAATCACTATTTAGATGTATCTGCTTAATCCACTTTCATAACAGAAACTGGTGCAATCACGACTCACTCTCACGAGCGCTCTCACATTGACTCTGTTTACAAATCACATTCTAGGTAACAAGAATGTCGTCACTAGAGAACAGCTTGACCGAATGAAGAACGGCTGCATCGTCTGCAACATGGGACACTCCAACACTGAGATTGATGTGGTAATGTGTCTTTTTAATTCTATGAGTGTTTTGTAAAGATGCAAAGCAGCACAATTAAAATACGCTGCACAACTTCTCTCCAGTACACTCTGTTTGATTCTCCTTACCGAGCGCTTTTGGCTTTCTTGCTTTCATCAGGGTGGCGTCTGAGGCTGTTTCTGGCTTCCTCCACAGTATTGATCAGTCATGTGATCTATAGATAAATTATCGTCATCTTTTGCCAAATACCATATTCACTCTTATGTTAAAATATCTTCCATCTCTTAATAGTTTGTCATGTCAGTCTGTGGCTGATCTTAACACATTTAACTCTTATGTACATCTCAAAACAAATCCTGTTCTTTGAGACCAAATATAATCTATTAGACTTGAAAAAACGGCATCATGTCTAGTTCCTGTGTCCTGTTCCTAAATGCCAGATTAGGAGATCCAGAATGAGAAACTTCTCTAAATCTTCGCCCGTCTTTGACAAACATACCTTTTTAATCTTTGTTTTACTTCTATGTTCCGCTCTGCTTTGTTTGAATTCTTGAACATGATAACAAATAGATGACACCCTTTGTGTTGCATTCAGTTCTCTGACCTATGTTCTTCTACCTGTGTTATATTTCTATGTGTCGTACAGTTGTAAGACTGACCTGTCTTTTGTGTGCTCAGGCGAGTCTGCGCAGCCCTGAGCTGACCTGGGAGAGGGTGCGCTCTCAGGTTGACCACATCATCTGGCCCGATGGAAAGAGGGTTGTTCTGCTTGCAGAGGTAACGTCCCTCTACAGTGCTGTATCTGTACCAAACCGGTGTCTCTTAAAATCTTAAGATTAGTTTTGTCACACCTCTTTTAAACCCACACTCTTGTCCTATAAACTAACAGAAACATTTATATTGTGAGATATGTTGGTGTTTAAATATTGATATGCAGAATCTCTTGATAACGTCGTCTAGCATGCAGTTTATAATCCTGATCATTTTAACCGAGAGTAACATTTAATTATAAAGAGGCCTGCTGGCGTCTCACTGTAAGTCAGCCAACAGCTCCTGTGTGCTCTGTGTTCATACAGCAGCTGCATACTCGTATCCCTTATTGTGACACTTTTTTTGAGTCAACTTCTCCGGTGCAGTTCATGTGCGTACTTTGTTATTTCTCAGGGCCGCCTCTTAAACCTGAGCTGCTCCACAGTGCCTACGTTTGTGTTGTCCATCACTGCTACAACTCAGGTTAGTAGTTTGGCCCCTCTCTGTGGCGCCCTTCACTGACACTGTAGGGGGTCTCACCACATCACCCTGCTGTTCTGTAGTGACGTGTAGTTTCCTGAAACTCATTGTGAGTCTTAACAACCACTGTGTGCTCTGTGTTGTCTGTAGGCCCTGGCCCTGATTGAGTTGTTCAATGCTCCAGAGGGGCGTTACAAACAGGATGTGTATCTCCTGCCCAAGAAGATGGGTAAGAAAGAACTCTGCTTTGTTTTATATTTATAGATTTAGAATAAAAATGATGATATAACGTCAGTTTAAAAAGCTTTGTTGCTCATTATTGCCATCTTGTGACTTGACCTAAAAATGACACGTTCCAGTGAGCCAACAATGACGTACACAAAAACAAATATCTTTCCAGACAGTTTAGATTCCGATCTGTCTCTTTCCTCCAGATGAGTATGTGGCCAGTCTGCACCTACCAAACTTTGATGCCCACCTGACAGAGCTCTCTGACGAGCAGGCCAAGTACATGGGTCTCAACAAGAACGGCCCCTTCAAACCCAATTATTACAGGTGGATTTCTTCATGTACCGTATATCTTTCTCTGCCGTTGTCTTGCATCTCATACGTTTTTATGATGTGTTCACGTGTGCGCAATAACACTCGTGTGTTTCCTTCACAGGTATTAATGACGGTGTCTGATGATGTGATCCTCAACACACAGTTGTCCTGGGATAAACAGAGATATCTATTTTATTTTGTAAATTGCTACAAAATGGAGGAATTATTTTAAGTATGCTGAATGTAAGTTATTAAACTTCGGACATAGTGTTAAATATGAAGAATAAGATGAGTAGGAAACATACAATGTACGTATAACCAACTAACATTTTACATGTCTTGTCACGTGTTTAAAAGAAAAGCCTGCTTGCATGCTTTCATGTGTATGTGCTTATTTAGTTGCTATTGCTTCTGTTGCTAGATCACAAAGTTGTTGATTTGTTTGTTTACCCTATTTATGCACAGTGCCAAATGATGGCTGTAAGAATGGAACAGATACCATGTATGTTTCGTCTGTCGATGACATTAAGATCTTATTAGTACATTCCTCAAGCCAGGGTTTGGGCTGAGCCACAACAAACTCCATATTACAAAGTCCATTGTTTTAGAAATGTTTGTGTTACATTCGTTAAAATAACCTCATTGAATGGTGTCTGCATACATGTCCTAAAAGGTGTCATCCAGTCACACTTTTTTATTACAAGTACAGTGATTCAATTTATATCACTTGTTTATTATAAAAATGTAATAGTCTGAAAGGCTGAGTGCATTTTGAACTCCTGACTCTTGGTGTTGGCATTCAACACTAAAATGATCTTAAACACCCAAAGCTTCACCTGAATAAGTTCAAACCAAAAGGATGTTTTTTGTGCTAACAGATGAAGATGTTCTGTTATGTTAAAGATAACAAGCTGTATGCATTCCTTAAAAAGGTGGAGGCGTAAAAGATTTTCAAACTACTATCATTTTCTGTATTTAATACCAAGTTTCCATTCGCTCACTGACATTCCAGCAGAGATCCGTTTCTCTGACATGCAGCGAGGTCAGTTATAAAGTGTTCTGACTGGATAATACCGTTAACGGCATGGTATGAACGTGCCTTTTAAATAATTTACAACTTGTAATAAATATCAGTACTGACCTTAATTAAATGAACATTCCTCTTTTGTAAAACCACATCTATTAGTGGTGCGTTTAATGTCTTCCTTCCACTGCTTCTGGTATTAAAAATATCTCTGATGTGTTGAGAAACAATATTAGACTTTTATGTTTGCCATATGATTGTCACGGTCTTAATTTGATCCAATAGGGTCACCTAAAGTAAAATGTAATGTCATTAAACTGCATAAGTGTACACAATGTATGTAAAATAATGCATTAAATCAGCAATAAAACAACTTCTTTTAACAGAGAAAAGTAACTTAAAACCTGTCAAATTTTTTTTAAACCAAGACAACTGAACAGAAAGGCCTCTTTAGATCAGTGGTTGGGTAGTTACAGTGCATGTTTCCATTTTCGGGGAGATAAAGCTTGTATTCATGGCTGCTAACACTTCCACACACCCAACTCAATGTGCCTTACTGCTACATTCTCTACATAGTGTTCCCTCGCCGTCAGCCCTGCTGGCCGAGCGTCAAACTGCTGTCCCACTCTGGAATATTCTCCGTCTCTCTCGCAACACGCCAGCTGCATTAGTTTCTAATATTAACAGTCGAGTCACTGAGCCCGAAGGAGAGAGGGGGGACGGGGGGGTCTGGGAGCTTCTAGAAACCTGGTTACAGCTATAAAAGCAAAGGGCCTGACTCAGTCCAGGCATTAGTTTAAGAAGAACCACACAGAGGCAAAAGGCTGCCACGAGGAGACTCTGAGATCCTTCAACATTTTTGAGCAACAGAGAGAGTTCATCGCTGAAAGTAAGTAGCAATTGATTTTCCCAGTTTGGTTAAATTAATTTGAATGGAAACATCAGTGCAGCCTTGCTGTTATCACATATCTGTGATGGTGTCCATTATTTTAATCCACCTGTTCCTTTAAAAATAACACTCAAACTCACCATTACTAATGCATCAATTCTGCTTTATTGTATGTCTTTATTAATGGTGGTAGAAGTTAATGTTACAGTACATTCGAGAAACAGTTGAATTTGATTATGTATTTATAATAAAGGTGTTAGAATTACTTCAAGTGTGTGATTTGGGAAATGTAAAAAAAATCTAATGTTATATATTTAATCAAATGGAAAAGGGTAATATGAGAATTTTACATTTACATTTAAATAACTAATTTAATAAGTTAATATTTTAGTATATTTTATACATTTATGTTATATTTATGTTTTCATAATAGAGCAATTTATTATATGATAATGAGAATGTTTCCTTAATTTTAACTGCAAATTAAACTTTTGTCTCTGATTATTAGATCACTGACTGACTAATATTTGGTTGCAGTAATCAGTGCTTTCATGTGTAGCACTACAAAATAAAAAATGTAATGTTTTCTCATTAATCTAGGATTTATCTAAAGCAACAAGCAAAATGTCTTCAGCTAAGGGAGTATCTATTGGCATCGATCTGGGCACCACCTATTCTTGTGTTGGGGTTTTCCAGCATGGCAAAGTGGAGATCATCGCCAACGACCAGGGCAACAGGACCACCCCCAGCTATGTGGCCTTTACAGACACCGAGAGGCTCATTGGAGATGCTGCCAAGAACCAGGTCGCCATGAACCCCACCAACACAGTCTTTGACGCCAAACGGCTCATTGGGAGAAAGTTTAACGACGCCGTCGTCCAGTCTGACATGAAACTCTGGCCTTTCAAGGTGATCAGCGATAACGGAAAGCCCAAAGTCCAGGTGGAGTACAAAGGGGAGACCAAGGCCTTCTACCCAGAGGAAATCTCCTCCATGGTCCTGGTTAAAATGAAGGAGATCGCTGACGCCTACCTGGGACAGAGCGTGTCAAATGCAGTCATCACAGTTCCAGCTTATTTCAATGACTCTCAGAGGCAAGCCACCAAAGACGCCGGGGTGATCTCAGGACTGAATGTTCTCAGGATCATCAACGAGCCCACAGCAGCAGCCATCGCCTACGGCCTGGATAAAGGTAAACGAGGAGAGCGCAATGTGCTCATCTTTGATCTCGGTGGAGGCACCTTCGACGTGTCCATCCTGACCATTGACGACGGCATCTTTGAGGTGAAAGCCACCGCGGGAGACACACACCTTGGCGGGGAGGACTTTGACAACCGGATGGTCAACCACTTTGTAGAGGAATTCAACAGAAAACATAAGAAGGACATCAGCCACAATAAGAGAGCAGTGAGGAGACTGCGTACTTCTTGTGAGAGAGCGAAGAGGACCCTGTCCTCAAGCACTCAGGCCAGCATTGAGATCGACTCTCTGTTTGAGGGCATCGACTTCTACACCTCCATCACCAGAGCACGCTTTGAGGAGCTCAACTCGGAGCTCTTCAGGGGAACACTGGAGCCAGTTGAGAAGGCCCTGCAAGATGCCAGGTTGGACAAATCAAAGATCCATGAAATCGTCCTGGTTGGTGGCTCCACAAGAATTCCCAAAATCCAGAAGCTCTTGCAGGACTTCTTTAATGGCAGAGAACTGAACAAGAGCATCAACCCAGATGAAGCCGTGGCGTACGGCGCAGCCGTCCAGGCTGCTATCCTAATGGGTGACACCTCAGAGAATGTCCAAGATCTGCTGCTGCTGGACGTGGCTCCCCTGTCTCTGGGCATTGAGACTGCGGGTGGAGTTATGACGCCTCTAATCAAACGAAACACCACCATCCCCTCCAAGCAGACCCAGATCTTCTCCACATATTCGGACAATCAGCCAGGTGTGCTGATTCAGGTGTTTGAGGGTGAGAGAGCCATGACCAAGGACAACAACCTCTTGGGCAAGTTTGAGCTCACAGGTATCCCTCCTGCTCCCCGAGGAGTACCACAGGTGGAGGTCACATTCGACATCGATGCCAACGGCATTCTGAATGTGTCCGCCGTTGACAAAAGCACCGGCAAAGAAAACAAAATCACTATCACCAATGACAAGGGGCGCCTCAGCAAAGAGGAGATAGAGCGGATGGTACAGGACTCTGAAAAGTACAAGGCTGAGGACGATGTGCAGAGGGAGAAGATTTCAGCAAAGAACTCACTTGAGTCGTACGCCTACCACATGAAGAGCAGTGTCGAGGATGAGAGCATGAAGGGAAAAATTAGCGAGGAGGATAAAAAGATGGTCGTTGACAAGTGCAACCAGGCGATCTACTGGCTGGAGAGCAACCAGCTGGCAGAGAAAGACGAGTATGAGCATCAGCAGAAGGAACTAGAGAAGGTGTGCAAGCCGGTCGTGACCAAGTTGTACCAGGGAGCAGCACCGTCAGGAAGCCAGGCAGGAGGCAGCTCCAAGGGCCCCACTATTGAGGAAGTGGACTAAAGCCTAAAGATATCAACATTTTGTTTACAGAAATACTGTCGCTGTATCACTGTTGTTTGGTCGCAAAAAAAGATGTGATGTCACCCTCTATTTTCTTGAATTGTCATAATAAAAATACTTAAAATGATTTAACTGTCTTTAATTTGTTCTTGTAAAGCACAATTTACAGATGTTTTGTGCACATGTTGACCTATAAAGGCTTACCATAAGTGTTTTAAACTTCATATGGGCTGGCCTTTTCTCTATTCAAAAAGTAAGCACATTGTTCCATTTTTGAGGTTTTACTAATTAGATTACCATTTTATATATCTTCACTTCTTACAAGGAGGTCTGGTACTTTTAAAACTCACTCTGCAGACTGGTTTTGGTTACTGGTTGCAATAATATATTCTGAGCTTGGAAAGTTTGCGTTCAGATATTTTGCTCCAGCCTTTATTAATAATTTACAACAGGTTTTGATTAATGGAATGCTTTTGAAGAAGATGCTTGAATGGAACTTTCCCCATACTTTAATTTCTACCCATTCCTTTGATCTTCCCTTTTCTTGTGTTGGAATATGATTTACAGTTTACAAATGTCTGTATTACACAAGACACACAATACAATTAGAAATAGCAAGAGAGCGACCCACCGACTCAGCATTGCATTGCTATTATAAAAATGTCGGACTCACGATGCACAATTTATTAAATACATACATACGTCTACATTACCCACAATGCAACTCGACTGCCGACAGTTGATTCGGGTGTGTAATGCTAGTAGCAGATAATGTAGCTCCAAGCTGCTAGCCTCAAGCAGAGATGAGGCCCACAAAGGTCAGGTCACATCATTTTTTATTTTCAAACTTGTAGTCTTCAATTCCAACAATTTATCAGACTTCACACAGCTCCCTCTGCAGCCACAAAATACTTTATACAATCGTCTTCATATAAGTAGAAAGCTTATAGCCTAAGTTACTCCCAAACACCTGTAAATAGACTTTGAAGTCTTCACTCCTGAATGGTTCAGTCGGTCTCGCTGCTTGTGTTGTTCACTGAAGGATCCACTAGGTGGCAGTGTTGACAACATCAGTTTTCTTAACACACTGGAGGCCTCAAAGCTATACCTGTTGGATCACACTTTGTAGTTGCTCAATAACAACAACAATAACTATAATAATCTTGAGCTACTCCTGGAAATAGCAGTGAAATCACACCTGTATCTTTCAGCTGAACAGCAGCTGAAACTCTAGGCTGACATTAATCCTAATATAAAGAGTGATGAAATGGCGTAATTTAAGAGGATAGTCTGTGTAGCTGTCATGCAGTGAAACATCAGCATATGTTCAGGACGGTATAGGCCTACTGACTCTATATAGTAGTAGCCCACTAGTCCTTATTCAGTCAGGTGGTGCAAGTAACTAACAATAAGCCCCTTTTTCACATGCTGGAGCGGACACATCACTATAACACCTGTACAAAAGTACAAAAATCCAGTACACAACAATTCCCATATGGTGCACAGTTTGTACTTTTTGCCATTAGTCTTCTATAGCATATCAATCATACACATTTAAGATATGTAGACCGGAGTATGTAAAATATTACAGTCTACAAAAAGAGGTTAATTGAGGGTTGATCATGTATCTCTCTCTCTCTCTCTCTCTCTCTCTCACACACACACACACACACACACACACACACACACACACACCCACACACCCACACTTCATCAGCCCATCCCCTCGGTCTGATTAGAGGGAGTGGTTCAATGATGCGCCAACCGTCGCCAGCATCCGAAGAGTTAAACTGGCGAGCCTGTTGTTGAACGCACCATCCATCCAACCGGGCTGTGTCGCTAAGGGAGGGTCGGCTACTTGTGAAGAAAAGCAACAGATCCCCAGCTGGAGAACAACCTCACATCTGGCACTCGAGCCTGGTGTGAGAACTGGTGGAATATCTCAGCGCGTGATTAAATGCGCGACTGGATCATTGTGAGGCTTCAGCATCTTGTGTGGAGAAGAGAAAAGTTGTCAGGGATAGTTATGGATTTTGGCGTTGCAGAATTTGGATATGATCTGTCTTAAGAAAAGGTGAGGAGTGACACATTACTTCAGACTACGTGGTGCATCCGATAGGCACGTACTGAAGCCTACGGTGCGTAATTGGTCAATTATTCTGTTGCCACAATCTTGTTTTCCACGAGCGGGAAATAAGTTTAACATGTGGAAGTATTAATTGAAATCACATTGTGTAATATATTCGACAGAAACATTGAAAAACACATCCAGTGATCCTGGCCACCGGAGTTTTGTAACAGGTGGTTTTCGTTGTGCGTCTCGGCCGCTGTTTGGATTATTAGGCTGTTGCTTTTTGGATATGCTAAATGAGACGCACAGGTCAGTCAGTTTAAGGACTGGGGTGTGAAATGAGGACGCACTTTGCGTTCATTTTCTGATTTGTTTTTTGTACGAGGGGGCAACCGCTTTTAACAGAGGGGCGAGCAGCCAGGAGGTCCCTGCTTCTCAATGATCAGCTCGGTGTGTGTTTCGACTTACCGGGGGCGCAAGGCGGGCAACAAACCTCCGTCTAAAACATGTCTCAAGGAGGAGATGTGCAGAGGGGAAGACTCGGACAAAATTATCATCAACGTGGGCGGAACTCGACATGAAACCTACAAGAGCACCCTCAGGACCTTGCCGGGGACACGGCTGGCGTGTCTGGCAGACCCGGACCCGCAGGTCAGCTCCGACTCGGACGCTGCGCCCCCGAGCGCCGAGCTCTTCTTCGACAGACACCCGGGCATCTTCGCCTACGTGCTGAACTACTACCGAACCGGCAAGTTGCACTGCCCGGCCGACGTCTGCGGTCCGCTCTTCGAGGAGGAGCTGGCTTACTGGGGGATTGACGAGACCGACGTGGAGCCGTGCTGCTGGATGACCTACAGGCAGCACCGGGACGCAGAGGAGGCCCTGGAGACGTTTGAACCGCCGGACCCAGAGGCCGAGGATGACCGAGAGATGCCGAGGCGGTTCGGCATCGAGGACTGTCCCGACCGGTCGAGGAGCTGCTGCGAAGTTTGGCAGCCGAAGGTCTGGGCTTTGTTTGAAGACCCGTACTCGTCCAGAGCAGCCAGGGTGAGTCCACCAGGTGTTTTATCCTCTGAGCGCTTTGATGGGCACATGTCGGTGTGAGATCATGAAACCGGTAAGGGATTATTCCATTTAGGGAAAATAGACGCACGTGTTGTCCTAATCAACAGGTGTCCCTATAAGTCTTTTAAAGTGCGCTATATGAACTATCTGCGTTTGTATTTACACTTTTCTCGTCAAAGTTTTTACCATCGACCAGCACTTTGTCTGCACTTGTTTCCCTTTACTACTCAGTGGCCTGAATGTTACTGGGCATTTAGTTATATCCTTCAACCTAATAACTCAACTTGATCGAGTGAGTATAGAAAACCTAATAATAGCTGCATTATTTTAACCTGGCAAGGCCAATAACCATGTGACTGTGACTTTTAATTCTAAGTAAACCTGGGTTTTATGGAGTTAGAAAAAAGTCTGGGACGTTTTCGGCGGTAGGAGTTGAGGCTCGATGTGGTTCTTTGTAGGGCAACGTTTTTGTTTTCGGACACTTCTGTTTTCTGGCCATATTCATACCATCACATCTGTTTCGTTGACTGTTCCCACAGGAACAGACGTAGCTTCGCCAAAGCATCAACTAGGGATTGAATCTCAAACATCTGTTCGGATGTTTTGACTTGCTCACGTTTTAAACAACAGTCCAACAGAAAATCATACAAACACCAAACATATTGCAGCATTTGTTCTAATTCGTTTGAGTTGGTTCAAAAGCAGATAGTAAAAACACAAATGATTGAGTGCATTACTGACGAGGGAAAAGTGATAAAACAAAAACAAAGGGAACCAAATGCAAAATGATACTATAATGACCAATCTATTTTAATTTTGTTCCTTTCTAATATATTAAGATGTATTCTTAATATATTAGAAAGGAAAAAGCACTCTATGGCAAAAAGTCATACAGCCCTGTCCACATACTTTTGTGTACTTTTCGTCTGGACAAGGGAAGTCATAAATTATAAAAAGTGTTTAAGCCATTGGTTGTGTAAGAACTGTCCTGCTGAGCTGAACCCCATCCAACACCTTTGGATCGACCTGGAGTCAGGCTGTATTACCCAGAATCAGTGATGGACCTCAGTGATGCACCTGTTGTTGAATGGGAGCAAGTCCCTGTATACTGCTTCCAAAACATTGTGGAAATCCTTACCGCAATGGAGACTGGTAAAGCAGCATGTTACGCCCAGAATTTTGGAACGAGATGTTCTATGTCGACTATAATCACATACTTTATGGGTGGATTTTTCAGGTGTGCTGTAAATGTTGGCTTTACTTCCTCATTGTTGGTGTCCCACAGAACACACTGCTGTATGTGTAATAGTAATAATAATTGCGAAATCAACCAATTTGCTTTCCTTAAACTGTTTATATTTTTTCTACTCTTTGAAAAAAATTCATTCACAGAAAGAAATCGACAGCGTTTCATCCTATGTAGTCACTTATGTTTGGGGTCAGGTAAACCCCAGAGACGTCTAACTCCCTATTGGACCTCCTATAAAACAACAACAACAATAGATTCCAAATAAATGTACTATTGAGAGGAGTAATGCTGTGTTTATAAAGTACTAACAACACGAGTTACAGAAAAGGAGCATATGAACGTCCAATAGATTTGACCATGTTCTTGGTCCATGCCTTCTGAAACATGTAATCTGTTCAAAAAGATGTTAGTGATCAACAAAAACTATGAACCAACATGACATATCAGGCTGATAAAACAATGTAAAGGCTGTTTTTTGAGCTGTTAAAAGGAGCTATGGACCTCCAGGACCCCAAACAGAACATTCAAGTGAATGTAGTGCGCTAGAAGCCATGACAAATGTATTTATTCAGCTCCCAGTTGATAATTATTTATTTAAAAAATGTGGCACGTGGCCAGCACTCTCTCCCGACAACTAAATGTTGCTTGCACTCATGTGATGAATAGCAGTTTTTTTTTAGTTTTTACTTAAATATATGTTGTGAAATTGTACCCGAATGCTGAAAATAGAGAAAATGCTGTTTCATGTGCTGCTGAAGTGTTCCCACACATCCTGTTCAAGGGTTGCTTTCAAAGCTTCTCTAAACACGAGTGTAAGGCTGCAGGAGTGAATGTCCATGGACAGTAAATCATGCTTTATATTAAACAGAAGAATACATAATCATCCATTTATCACAACAATCGAATGTACAATGTTGAGAGAAACCCCACTGCCCTATTTTTAATGTCGTTTTGCTGATTTCTGAATGCTATTTTATTCAAAGACTGTGGTCATGTCACAACTTAAGTGTTTGACATGTATTTATGATTTTAAGACGTACACTCCCCCAAAGATCAATCTCAGTTTCTAAGTTAATCACGGTTGGCTTATCGATAAATGTTTGTATGTTGTAAATTAAAATCATTTTGCTCTGATTTCTTCCACAAGGTATAACAGCCATTTCTAAGCGTTTGAAAGTACGCTCTGCCTAATGGCTTAGCAACAAAAGCAGCAGAGCGCTTAATGAAGTAAACATGAAGGCAAGTATCGAGTGTCACTAGCAGGAGTTGTCAGGCAAAGGGCCAGGAGCTTTCATCGGTCAAAAAAGAAAAATGCTTTTAGTCCAGAGAGAGAGAGGCTGATGCTCACTCTAATTTCTGTTTGCCTGTTTATGGAGTTGAATGGTCTGCCGCAGTGTTGCAAAAGTTCTTATTACATGCCAGTCACAATACAAATCGTGTTTATTTTAGTTTCCCGTCCAGGTGGCATTTGCAGGCTGTCACTGTAGAACAGCCGACATCTCTGAGTCACAGCTGCCATCTGCATAGATGACCGCGTTCTGCCTGCCACTTCATCACGTCTGTCTCTCACCAACTGAATATTTGTAAATGAATCAATCAGGGTTGTCACTGTAGATGTGAATCTGGAACTATGTAACAAGAAGGAGCGAGGGCAGATCCATATTGACCCGCTCATGATGGTCATTATCTATTTCCTCTCCAGCTGATCAATGCAGGTATGTTGGCTCTGTGTGCATTCTGAGAGGAGTGCATTTTGAGGGACTCACGTTACCTTTATGGCCTTTTTCTTTTCAAAGAGCCTCTGAGCTCAGCTCAGGTAATGTGACGCTTGACAGCCGGAGGGAAGTTAATCATTTCAGCCGCATCCTCCTCACTATCAACCATGACTGGAGGTGCATCTCTGGGAAAGTCTGCACATAAAGACTGTTCTGATGATGGCACTACTCAAAAAAATCAAAAGACATGAGAGGACCATATACAGCATGTACTAGAGCAGTAATGGCCGTAAGATTTAAAGTGCTGACTCTAGGCTTTAATTTTGAGGGTGTTTACTTTCACATCAGATGAACTGTGTATGAATTGTAGTCCTCGTTGGACGTGCTCGGCACCATGATCACCATCATCATGGTGATCCCACGACTTTTCCTCTCGTGTCACCAAGAGGTTGACATTTGCGGTTTCGAGTGAAATGCGTTGAGGAAGATTTCTATGATTAATCGGGAGAAGAGTCAAGGTTTTCAATCTATGTCAATAAACAGAGTCTTGAGAGAATCAAAGTGTTCGTCTTTTATTACTTGCAAGTAAGAGAGCGGTTCAGCAGACACGTATCTCAGTGTACTGCGAAAAAACGCTTCTGCCAGTGATCGCTGGACATGTCATTTTATGCACATACAGAAAAAGTAACACCCAAGATGAGGCATACACAAAGCAGAAGTTCTGTATGCACGGTAAGCAAAACTGTGTTCAACTGACCTTTGTGCTTAGCTTAGTTTTCTTGAACCTCTAAGAAACAGAAGTTGAAAAACAGGAACCAGGTAGTTTCTAGGTTTCGACAGTTCACAGGAAGGGCAGGCAGTGTTTTCTACTTGAATCTGCATTTTCCTCTTTTCGCTTAGCAGAGACTTTAACATACATTTGATTAGAAGCACATGGTTAAAATATATTTTGCCATTACAAATGTCTCAACGATGAATTGCCAACACGTGCTAACACGGCAAACTAAGAGGGTGGCAATGACAAGCAAACATTACACCTGCTTCACATCAGCATGTTGGCACACTCACGTTTGCATTTAGTGCCACAGAGCCACGAGCCTGGTTGTAAACGCGACACAGTCCTTCAATTTTAGGGGACAGAAAGTTTAAATAACCTTAACATTAAGTTCACATAATATTAGGTTGCAAATCTTTTAATCAAAGACGTCAGCAGACTTTTATCTTCCCTGTCTGCATATTTAGGATCAGGATAGATTTTGGAGGTGAAAGTATTAAAATGGATACAATTTCTACACTGTTCACCAAATATAGACGTGAACACTCTCAAATACCTTTTAAGCTGAAAGTCAACATTAAGCTTGTAGTCATTTATTTTACTTAAAACCAAATTACTGGAGGATAGAGCCAAAACACTACTATTGTAATAGTATAGAAATAAACATGTTATTTCAGTTTAAACACCTGGAGCGCTCCATGCCACTGGAAGTGAACCAGGCTTTTTAATCTCAGAGTAGTTGCATGTGACAATTAGACTTGACATTAACATTAAACTCGGACCAGATAACTTAGTTAAATCTTCCCATATGCAATATTAACTAAATTCCACAGCTGCCTGTAATTAATGACCGCTGTGGTAATGGGCTGCAAGTTGTTGAGCCATTAAAACTGCCTTTCCCACAGAAAGGAGCAAAGTATTCTATCCCACACAGAGAGACAAATCAATTTGTCTTTGTTGTGAGACCAAGGGATTAACTGGTGTGGGTTTGTTGAGGTCTGATGCATATTATCTGGAGTCTACATTTCCAATAACCAATCAATTTGGCAATAGAAAATGCAGTTGTGTTTTTTATGTGTTCAGATTTTACACTTACATTTCTTATTGAATGACGTTTACATTCAGATTCAGTAACTGGATAAGATAGCTTGGCATGAATTTAGTTTTTTCATTTTTTATTGTCAAATTAAATGTTTAAAAGACATTCATCCTCGTTTAAAGTTGCAATATACAATGTTCAGAG